TACAAATATTTTGTGAGCCTGCTTAAACTCTATCTTGCCAATAAGACATAAAACACATTTTATATAAAGGTTATTTCTCATAATTCCTTGATTTTTTCTAATGCTTTTCCTGTTTATATATTTAGAATGTCAAATATGTTGTAACATTAAGAAATACTTGTTGAATTGAATGATTTTTATTTATTTATTCATTATTTAGAGTCAGGATCTCACTCCATCATCCAGGTGGGAGTGCAGTGGCTCAATCATTGCTTACTGCCGCCTCCAACTCCTGGGCTCAAGTGATTCTTCTACTTCAGCCTATAGTTTAAGCTTTTTTGTGTGTATGGTTTTAGATTAACTTTTGTGTATAGCAGGAGGTAGAGGCCTTCTTCAGCTGCCTGTATACCTGGGACTACTTGCACACACATCACACCTGCCTAATTTTTAAATATTTAGAGAAAAAATTTAATTCCTGGCCTCAATCTTCCTGTTTTGTCCTCCCAAAGTGCTGGGATTACAGGTGTGAGTCACTGTGCCTGGCTGAATTGGAGTATCTTGCTTGTTAATACCAATAATAAATGTATTATTTTAAGTAATAATTAATAATACATAAACATGACAGTTGTAAACCTGAACAACTTTAGAGTTTAATTTATATTTTTGGAGGTGGACTGTAGTAGCCTTAGAGAAGGATCACTCAGCTTCCCATCAAGAGACCCAGAGGTGGGGTGCACGGCTGCCTCAAAATTCATAGCTGCACTTCTTTGGATCCAGCATGGTGTTTAGGCAGAGTCCATCCTTACTCTGAGATGCCCTCAGCCAGTGACTCAGCAGGGTGGGTGGAACATATAGAGAGCTGGCCAATTTCCATCTAACACGGGTCTTTTCCAATAGGTAATCTTCTTTGCTTAGAGACTCACTACCTCCTGACCAAGACTTTTAAGAACTGCTCTAGAGTCTGAGATTTTCCTACTCGATCTTTCCATTTCTTTCCCCTTTCATAGGTGACTTTCATCCTGGTCTGAGGCCTTCATCACTCACTCTTGCTTCCTCGAATTTCATCCTTAGTAGACATTTATAAAAAAAAAAGTGTTGCAAGTCTAATCATTTCTTGACATCTCCTTCATAGGGGACCCTAAATGACAAAGAAGACTTACATTACCTGATTTTACAAATTAGTATAAGGCTGTGATAATCAACATAGATTGGTTTTGTTATAAAGTCTGGTGAACAAGTCCATGGGATAGAATAGAGGATTCAGAAACAGAGCCTCACTCACATGGTCAATTGATTGCAGACCAAGCAACAGAGTAATCTCCTAGGGAAAGAAAAGGCTTTGAAGCAATTGTTGCTGGAAGTACTGCCTATCCATAAGGAAAACGTTTAACCTTGACCTCTACCTCACACTACACAAAACCTATTCTAAAAATGAACCAAAACCATATACAAAAAAGCTTAAATTATGGGTCATCCAGAAGAAAACATATGAAATTGTGTTGGTACAGTCATAGATTTCTTAGAGATATTCTGTATAGTACTAAACCCCAAAGGAAAAAAAACAAAGAAACCTAATTAAAATGAGATTATCTATTTATCAGGAAAGTACTCATAGGCAAGTACTTTCTATGAGTACAGGCTGGAAAAATATTTTAAACTAAATATTAGATAAAAATATTGTGTTCACATACATAATATATATCTCAACTGATTAATTAAAGATAAATATCTCAATTCATTGATTAAAAGATATATTTAAAAAGAACATTTAATAAACAAGCAAATGATTTGACTGACATAACCTAAAGAAGCTTGTCCAGCCCACAGCCCATGGACCCCATGCAGTCCAAGGTGGGTTTGAATATGACCCAACAGAAATTTGTAAACTTTCTTAAAATATTATGAGATTATTTTTATGACTTTTTAAAAGTGTTAGTATTAGTGTCCTTTATGTGTGGACTACGATAATTATTCTTCCATGTGACCCGTGGAAGCCAAAAGATTGGAAAGCCCTGTCCTTAAGGAAGATATGCAAATCAATAAACACCTGCCGATGTGCTTAATTTGCTGAGACCTCTTTGAAGTGCAGTGAATAACTGGATAGCACTCCCTTACCTGCTGTTCTGTCCCAGTATTGCTGATGTAAGCTATATCCTCCAGTTAACTTTATCCGTATTAAAGCTGAAATTTTGGGTTGCATGTGGTGGCTCACACCTGTAATCCCAGCACTTTGGGAGGCCGAAATGGGTGGATCACTTCAGGTCAGGAGTTCTAGAGCAGCCTGGCCAACATGGTGAAACCCTATCTCTACTAAAAATACAAAAATTAGCTGGGTGTGGTGGCCCACACCTGTAATCCCAGCTACTTGGAAAGCTGAGGCAGAAGGATCACTTGAAGCTGGGAAGTGGAGGTTGCAGTGAGCTGAGATCACACCACTGCACTCCAGCCTGGGTGACAGAGTGAGACTCTGTCTCAAAAAAACAAACAAACAAAAAGAAACAAATATGAAATTGAGTCTCCATGACTGCATGTACTGAGAAAAGATTTACATATATATACATGAAGCTATAAAGGAATAACGAAAGATATATGGAATTATAAGAAAAAAGAAAAACAATTATATTTGACAATATTTTTGTAAATAGTGTTTAAAAACAGGCTTAACAATGTAATACAGGAATATTGTTATAACTAAATTTATGATTAATACCCTATTGGTAGGAATTGATATTGGGGAGCAGGAAGAGGAGGTGTGTGTGTGTTTGCAGTGCTGGTGATAGACCCAAAAAGGTCCAAATTCTCACCTTTAATGAGTCTAAGTTTGAAAACCGTTAGAGTAATCCAAATTTGAGATGGAGAGAGACTGTGAAAGCTGTAGAATTGAGAGAATGTCCAGATCATTCAAAGGAATGGATTCTCTGGGACGTGGAGACTGGAAGAGATAGTAAGGGAGAAGGAAGAGCTTACATTTAGTTTTGTTGATTTTGTGCTCAGATAGTGGCAAAAATAATTTATAAAATGATGACCTGCGAAGGAGCAGCCCTGGGAATTCCAAGAAAACACTGAATTCAATTTGGGGCACTTTGAACTTGAGACACATAAATAGACATAAAGTATAACTTTCCAAAAAAACAGTTATGGCAGAAGTCCAGGATATATGGACAGAGCAGTGATTCTCAAATATGGGCAGTGTTGCTCCCCAGGGGATGTCTGACAATCAAAAAATTCTGATTTAATGATTAGTGTGTCTGTGGGGTGAGGTGGAGTATCATTGGCATCTAATGGGTACGATCAGGGATGCTGTTTGTTCTGTGCTACACACAGCCCCACAACCAAAATTTACTCAAATGTAAAAAGTACCAAGATCAAAAAATCCTGATTTATATACATATGGATGAATAACAGGGGCGGGGGTGCCAACACCTATCAGGTTCTTTTGATGTGTGAGGAACATTTCTAACACTTTATGTAAATTAACTTATGTAATTCCCACAATAATGCTATGAGATGGTTTTTATAGCCTTAGCTTATAGATATGCATAGGTTATATAGATACAAATACCTATACAAAGGGCAAAGAAGTTCTATCACTTGCCTGAGGTCTCAGAGGAAGTTAACAAGTCTGGATTTAAACTCAGCCTGACTTGAGGGCCTGCTACCATTCCCTCAACCATTTTGCTACATCTCTATTGAGGTGGAATCCACAAGCATGTATAGCGTTAAAGCTATGATCTAATATTTTACTAATGCACTCTCAGGGTCTTGTGGGAAGGTAGCAGAAAAGGCAACTGACTCTGCCCCGGATATTTCCCCTGTAGAATTTTGCACAGACTCCAGGGGAAGATGACAAAATGAGGCGCTCACCCTTCTGCATTGGGGATTAGGACTTCCCGATGTCAAATTATAAACTGAGTGGAACACTGAGTCCCAAAGGAGCCAATGTTGGATTTGTGACATTGGTTGTAAACACAGGGTTGGTAATATTTACCCTCAAGAGGCTCATTAAAGTTGGTAGGAAATCATAAAGCAGAGAATAAGTTTTTGTGCTTCGAATCAGCTTTCCCAGAACAATGGGACATGAAATAGATTTTCATTCCAGTCATCTGACTTTAGGAGGCTTCTATAAAGTGGTTCTTTTCCTGCATGCAAGTGAAGAGAAGCTTCTGGGAAAATTCTCAAACAGAAATTATGCCATAATCCCTAGAATACCTCTTTTAGCATGTCGAAGCCAGAGGTCTGTGCTGTTGGCAATTACCTCCTTCATCAACAGAAACTTTGACCCTTTCAGGACTGTGAGGATGAAGGGTCCTGAAGGTCTGAAGCAGTGAGTCCTCCAAGGATAGAAAGGTAAACATTGAATCACTTTTGCCCTGGTAATTTCCTTTCAAACTCAAAACTATGTAAATCAAAGGTTCTAGGGGAACATATCCATGCATTGCTTTTCCCAGCTCTAATTCTTAGAGAAGCTTGAGGAGAATGGAGGAAATTACGTACAAACACATTGGGAGGTCTACCAGAATTCTCACTGTCAGACACACAACATGACAGGGGAGAAAGGCAGGAAAAGGAAATTTTAAGGAATCGCCATAGAAAGTATTAAGCTGGCTGGGCGCGGTGGCTCAAGCCTGTAATCCCAGAACTTTGGGAGGCCGAGGCGGGTGGATCATGAGGTCAAGAGATCGAGACAAAACTGGTCAACATGGTGAAACCCTGTCTCTACTAAAAATACAAAAAATTTGCTGGGCATGGTGGCGCGTGCCTGTAATCCCAGCTACTCAGGAGGCTGAGGCAGGAGAATTGCCTGAACCCAGGAGGCGGAGATTGCGGTGAGCCGAGATCGGCCATTGCACTCCAGCCTGGGTTACAAGAGCAAAACTCAGTCTCAAAAAAAAAAAAGAAAGTATTAAGCCTTGGATGCCTTGCTATGTGTCTTCAGACATACCTGGGGTTGTAATTCAGTAGATTCAGCTCTCCTTCTGGAGACAGTGAGGGTCCATTATTAATATTTTCTACCCCTGTTCCTGCAGATCACACCTAGCGAGTGAATGGCTGTGGAAAATGACTCTTCAGTGGCAGAGTTTATTTTTATGGGACTAACAGACCAACCTGAGCTCCAACTGCCCCTCTTTTTCCTGTTTTTGGTGAACTATGTGATCACCATGGTGGGCAACTTGAGTTTAATTAATCTAATTTGCCTGAATTCACACCTTCACACCCCCATGTATTTTTTCCTTCTCAATCTGTCCTTCATTGATCTCTGCTATTCATTTGTCTTTACCCCCAAATGCTGCTGAGCTTTATTTCAGAGAGAAACATCATCTCCTTTCCAGGATGCATGACTCAGCTCTTTTTCTTCTGCTTTTTTGTCAACTGCGAGTGCTTCGTGCTGACAGCCATGGCCTATGATCGCTATATGGCCATCTGCAAACCCCTTCTGTACACGGTCACCATATCCCCTCAAATCTGTTCTCTGATGATGTTTGGTTCATATGTAATGGGGTTTGCTGGGGCCATGATCCACACAGGGTGTACGATGAGGCTCATCTTTTGCGACTCCAATGTCATCAACCATTACATGTGTGACATCTTCCCACTGCTTCAGCTCTCCTGCAGTAGCACCTATGCCAGTGAGCTGGCGATGTCTATTACTGTGGGCACAGTTGCTATCGTATCAAGCATCATTATCTTACTCTCTTATGCTTTGATTCTTTTCAATATCCTTCACATGTACTCAGCTAAGGGTTGGTCCAAAGCCATCAGTACCTGTGGCTCCCACATAATAACTGTTGGTCTATTCTATGGATTTGGGCTGCTTACTCATGTTAAGTCATCATTTGATGGGGCTATGGGTCAGGGGAAGTTTCTCTCAGTGTTTTACACAAATGTGGTACCCATGCTGAACCCCCTCATTTATAGCCTCAGGAACAAGGATGTCAAACTTGCTCTAAAGAAAACCCTAAGCAGAATTACAAACTGAGTAGAGCCAATGGTGCTGCCTTAGCTCCTTCTCCAATTGTTGAGTCTTCCTCTCCTCCTCCTGCTCGTCCTTATCTGCTTCATCTTGTTCTTCTTTTCCTTCTCTCCATCTTTTTTGTAAAATCTTGTAGGCAAGATTTCTCCCTTTCTTCTCTCACTATGCAATGTAACTGTGTGGGTCTATCCTTGGACAGAAGAGTTGTCCTCAGTCCCAAGGTGGCCCAAGCCTGAGCTTTATTTCACAGACTGAGGCAGGAAAATAGCAGAGGAAGTCAGGGGTTAACTGGACATAGGTTAGCTTAAGCAGCAGGAGAAGCAAAACATGCAAGACAGCATAAGTAGAACATATGAAATAAGGGTGTAAGCATCAAGCAGATAAAGGAGTAAGCAGTGAATTGGAACATGCAATGTAAGAGAAATAAGTTGGAAGGACTTGTAGTAGCAATTTGGTCATGAGAAGTAAAAGTAAAGATGAGCGATTTGGTCAGAAGAGATAAAGTAAGGTTAAGCAAAGAAGAGCAATTAGCTTACAAGAAATAAAATGAGGTTGAGGCACAATGAGGGGAAAGCAAGGACGAGCAATTCACTTACAGGAGAAGTGAGGTTAAGGAAGTGAGAAAGAAAACATATAAAAGGCCATGAAATGTAATGAACCAGGGCTGATACCACTCGTGGGTCAGCCTGATCCATTGTGAATCAGGCCATGCTTAATAAACATTTTGCTGCTTTGCTATCTGCATGTGTGTCATATCCAATTTGTTCATGGCACCAAGAACCTGGGGCTTCACAACATTAGTCAGTAACAATACCAGGTGGAGATGCTGAGCTGATATATCTTCCTAAGGATAACACTACCTACTGTTTTTTATGTGTCTTCCTCATCGGAGGTATGCCAGAGAGTTGGATACTGTCTGACAAGTTCATTTCTTTCTTGCTTTTCTGAAACGATTACATAGAGCTCTTTCCTGTTTCATTAGTTTTATTATTTATAACTACATTAAAAGAGAGAAAGGGTGATAAAAATTGTGGACAAGGTAAAGTTGTAAAAATCTCCAGAATTTTTCAGGGTTCTTTTAAGAGTGCTTCTTACTCTGGATTTCTAGCCTCACATCTGTAATGGACCTGCATATCTTATTGGACCAAGGTTCTGTTCTTACAGATGTTGACAGATGGATTAGGCTTACCACTCTATCCACAATTTTCAAGTCCTACCAATAATGACAATACATTGGTCTACTTATATTTTGTTGTAATAGGATTGACATTGTTACCACCTTGTCCATGTCCATAATGTCTGTGGATTGTGATTAAAAGTTTCACAATGATATTCTTGCCAGAAGAAGAAAGTGCCATGCATAATGAGTGTCAAGATTCTCTATCTACCTGGCTGTGTAACAGGGGTTCTTATTTGGAAAAAGAGATTCAATACTTCTTTTTAAAAATCAAACAAAATTATATGGCACGAATTTGCCTGATTGAGATTGAGATTTATTCTTTCAATATGTAAATTTGACTTCTTTTTTTCTCTAAGAATTAAAAATGAAATCTGAGGCCCATGCTGTGTGCTGCATTTTAACAAATCCCTTTACATTTAGGTCTCCTTATCCTGTTTTCTAGATGAGGAAATGATACGTGACTGGCTGGAGGTCACACAGTTAATGATGCAGAGCCTGATTTTCAAAACCGTTATTCATCCCAGGAATAAATTGAAAGAAAGAAGAATTCTGGGAAGAAAGAGGACTTCTGGGGAGTTATTTCAGTATGACTTGGAAGGTGGGGGTTGTATGGGAATGATGGTGCTCTCGGCCAAAATGCCTGTAGCTCAGAGACTTTTTTCAAGGCTTTGATCCCCAACTAGAAAAATGTACTTGCCTCTGCTTTTATTTTAAGGTAGGGTAAACAGGGTGAACTCCAAAGATACGTTTCATTCATATCTTTTAATAGTGATAATTTTCTGAATAGTGAGGCTGAGGAGTTTGGGTCAAACCTTTCTGATAAGGCATGTCACAATTTCCATAGCAGTATATGTACTGTACAGGCCTCTTAGATATTATGCCTACATTTAGAAACAAAAATAGTTACTCATAACAAAAAGAATAAAAAATCAGGCTCTACACAGAAGTTAAACTGTCTATTGCCTATTACTGATAGCAGCAGGAGGCAGAAGTGCCTAGCCAGATGGGGCAGGTCCCTGGTGAAACCCTACCTTCAAGCCAAAGACAGTTTAAAGCTTGAAACTCAAGCTACAAGTGAAATCCGTAAACTGTATTGAGAACCTGTCTTTCTATTTGGTGCACTTTCCTCTGATTGATTCCCACACTTCACCCATTTCACATTTACCTACCCTTTCCCAATTGATTTTCTACATTGTCTTCTGCCCACCTATGAGTGATGTCTTTGCTTTAATCATTTTTGCATACTCACAAACCAATCAGCATGCAATCCCCATTCTGTGTCCATGAGAAGCCCTGGATCCAGTCACACTGGAAGAGAAATCACCAGAATGCAGGGATGAGGGACCACCTCCCATCCCCTCTCCGCTGAGAGCTGTTCTGTCACTTAATAAAATTCTTCTCTGCTCATCTTTACCCTTTGAATTGTCAGTGTAACCTTATTCTTCTTGGACATGGGACAAGAGCTCAGGAAATACTTAATGCAAGTACAATCTATAAGACAGGCAGGCCAAGTGGGTGGGGTGCCTCCAGCAGCAGGCCTTGGGCTGAGTGAGGAGGCCCTTGAGGGGGGTTGCAAGTGTTGCAGGCCATGGAGGTTCCCAGTTGGCAAAGTGGCTGAGAAAAATCCTGTATCATTACTACTTTGAATGAACTCAAGGGAAGATGCCCCTCAACGGATATATCATAAGCAGAAACTTGATTAATTATCACTGTAATTTTTAAGTTTATACAAAGATACCATAATTTCTGAAACATTCTAAAACATTTTGTGAGAATAGCCTTAGAATATGATATTGCTGGCTAAGTACTTTACTTTAATATGCTTAAAATTATTGGTGTTAGAGTGAAGGGTCAAGTTTTTATGTTCATTATGATATTTATCTCACTTTCTTAATTTTGTTTAAAACTTTTATTCATGAAGCAGAATCTGAATGTTTGTATTTGCTTCTATCTTTCTTTTGCCTAGATTAATTACAGTGCCTGGTTAAAGAGAAACCTTAAAACTGTTTTGTTTTGCTCTAAAGCACATATTTTAGAAGTTCACGTTTTAATAATAACATAGAAATAGGTGTATAAAATTCATGTCTACAATCACCCACTACTTAACAAAAAAGTAAAATGCAAATTGAAGGCACAGAATAGATATGAGTACTGTGATTTGAGTACTGTGCTTATTGCAGTCACCGGCACTCTCTCTGGAAAATGAATCAGCAAATAGCTTGAGTTAGTTCTGTGAAGTCAACAGGCTTATTTTATATTTGAATTTCTTGTGTTGACTTGGCAAAATGTAAGTGATTTCACTTTTTAATTAAAACCACATCTAATAATATGTAAAACTAGAGTTTAAATTAAAGCCTATTATCTTTAAAAATTAATGTAATAAGAAAATTAGATATAAAATAACTTAAGAATGCATAAGTTTATTTTAAAATTATTGAATGCTTACAAGTTTTGTATGTGTGAATTGGTAAAGATGCAGATATTGTCAAATACTTCTTTCTTATTTGTTGTACCATAGTTTCTCCATACATGTAATTCAAACTGGAAAAACATGCTAACATATGTTAAAGGCATATACAATCTTTCATTTTATATAAAAGGTTAATTATATTAATTATATATATTTTAAACACAGATTATGTTTCATTAACTTAAAAGGGCAATATCCCAAGGTTTAACCTACAGGAAAAACGTTAAGTTAGAAATGTTAGAAACTTTATATTTTGAGGCTCATGAAATGGTGCCTATTTACTAACCACATTCACTTCATCACCCAAAAGAAGTGAAATGTTTTCAGGTCCTGGATTTGACATAGCACCAAGGCTGACTTATTAATGAAAAGATTTTGAGGTACTTCTCTCCAAAGGTCTCATTCTTTCTCCTTTGTGAATATAGATTGGGACAGAGCTTTCTAACTACTGCATAGCAGGTAGAATGGCAAAGGGGTTAGAGGTTAAGGTACTGAGCCTAGGATACTCAGTTTGGGAGTTTGAGTCTGGTTTCTCTGGCAGATTTATCCTGGGAAGGGCCCCTGGGTGGTCAAGAGTAAAGAGGTCTGATGTGACCTCACACCACAACTTTGGCAGAAGCAAGAAGAGTGAGACAAGATAGCACCCATTGCTCCATTTTAAAAGCCCAACCAAAGAGATGCTTCACCCCCTGGACACCAGCTACAGCTGTCACGTGCAGAGGAGGACAGAGCCCATTGTGAACAAGAGGCCCAGGGGTTGCCGAGGGGGTTTTCAGGTGCCCAAGGAATGTAGTGCCCAACCTTAAGTGCTGCTGTATATGGTCTAATCTCTATGTTCCCAGATCAGATAATTCTGCTCATTTCCAGCCGATTATTCTGTTAGTACCATCTAAGCTAGCATGACTAGTCTAAAAATGCACAAGTTTTCTACAAATTAGGGCATCTTTGTTATTTGGAAATATATTAAGCAAAAAAGTGAAGTTTGTTCCAAACTGATTCAAAATAAAATTTGTCAATGAAAGAAAAGACCATTTGCATTATTTGAACGGGATTTCAATTTTAAATATTTGGCTGATTTTTTTTTGCAAAACAATTTTAAATTCTGTCACTTACTTTTACATTCAAATTTGTTGTTCGTGGTGATTGTAAATATTTGTTGGTTATAATTATTAAGAATTCTCATACAGTAATTACAAGTGGCTGTTTTATTCACAAAACCTGATAGAAAACATTACTTTCCAGAAGCATGCACAAATTTTTATTGATAATTATGAAGATATTTTATTTGAAAATGTTATCTAATAAAAATAAAATAATCACAATTCTGATTTAATCATAAGTGTATTTTGGGTTTTAAATAATTTACATTAATATGGTAAATACTGAAAACACTGTATTTCCTTATTTTATCAACAAATTTATCATATGCATTGAAAGTCTGTGACTTTTCGCTAATAAAAGAACCCTCTATAAATATATCATCATTTTCTTTTTAATTA